CTAGCTGGTTGGCTGGCAAAAGCACAAATGTTGAAAAGCAAACATAAACAGAAACGCAATGGCAAAAGGCAAATAAAAAGAAAAAATTAAGCTAAAAAAGCGAACGTCTATCAAAGTAAGTGAATAAATGCATACAGATGTATGGAGGTACGCATGTAAAGTGATTCACAAATGTATGCTGACTACAACTTACGCATACCTTAAATATTTTTTATAAAAACAAAATACTATTTTTTAGGCATCCTTCTTCTTCTTCTTCTTCTTCTTTTTTGGCGCTGTAACCGCCTAAGATATTTTGGCCGAGTTCAACAAAGCACGCCAGTCATTTCTTTTCTGTGCCAACTGGCGCCAATTGGAAATGCCAAGTGAAGCTAAGTCCTTCTCTACCTGGTCTTTCCATCTCAGTGGGGGCCTTCCTCTTCCTCTGCTACCACCAGCGGATTCCGAGTTGAATACTTTCAGAGCTGGGGCGCCGGTATCCATTCGAACGACATGACCAAGCCAGCTGAGTCGCTGTATTTTAATTCGCTGCACTATATCCATATCGTTGTAAAGCCCTTATAGCTCATCGTTCCATTGTCTGCGGTACACGGCGTCGCCAAGGCGTAAAAGCCCGTAAATCTTCCGCGAAATCTTTCTCTCGAATACTCCAAGAGCCGTTCATGCTTCTGCGCCATATACCAGAACGGGCATGATGAGTGACTTATAGAGTGTGGTTTACGTACGTCGAGAGAGGACTTTACTCCTGAATTGCTTACTCAGTCCATAGTAGCACTTGTTGGCAAGAGTGAATCTGCGTTGGATTTCTATGCAGACGTTATTATTGGTGTTAATTCTGGTTCCCAAGTAAACGAAATTCTCTACTTTCTCGAAATTATAACTGTCAACAGTGACGTGGGTGCCAAGGCGCGAATGTGCCGACTGTTTGTTTGATGACAGGAGATACTTCGTCTTGTCCTCGTTTACCACCAGACCCATTCGCTTTGCTTCTTTATCCAACTTTTGATACCGATGATATCAATGTCATCTGCATAAGCCAGCAATTGCACGCTGTTGTAGTAAATTGTTCCTGAGCGGTTCAGTTCTGCAGCTCTTATTATCTTCTCTAACATCAGATTAAAGAAGTCACATGAAAGGGAGTCGCCCTGTCTGAAGCCCCGTTTGGTGGCGAACGGCTCGGTGAGGTCTTTCCCAATTCTGTCGAATCTGGTGGTATTGTTCAACGTCATTTTACAAAGCCATATCACTTTGGCGGGAATGCCAAATTCAGACATAGCGGCGTATAGGCAACTCCTTTTAGTGCTGTCGAAAGCGGCTTTAAAGTCGACAAATGGGTGGTGAGTGTCGTTTCTTTTGTCGCGGGTCTTTTCCAAGATTTGGCGTATTGTGAATACCTGGTCTATGGTGGATTTTCCAGGCCTAAAGCCACACTGATAAGGCCTAATCAGTTCATTGGCGGTGGGCTTCAGTCTTTCACACAATACGGTCGATAGGACTTGTAACCTATGCTGAGTTGGCGCGAATGGCGGGGTCGCCTTTCTTGTGGATCGGGCAGAGCACACTTAAAGTCCAGTCGTCGGGCAAGCGTTCATCTGACCATATTCTGTATAAGAGTTGATCCATGCACCTTATCAACTCCTCACCGCCGTACTTGAATAGCTCAGCTGACAGGCTGTCAGCTCCAGCAGCTTTGTTGTTTTTCAGCCGCGTTATTGCTATTCGTACCTCGTCATGGTCAGGCGGAGGAACATCGACTCCGGCATCATCGACTGGGGGCTCGGGTTCTTCTTCTTCACAACTTTCCGTGCTGCTACCATTCAGTAGCGTGGAAAAGTGTTCCCCCATAATTTTGGTATGTTCTGAACATCGGTAACTAGGTCGCCATTGTTGTGCTTACAGGAGTACGCCCTGGTCTTGAAACCTTCCGTAAATTTTCGGGCAGTTTTCCTATCGGCCAGCATTTCAAGCTCTTCGCACTCACGTATTTCGGCCTCTCTCTTCTTATTGCGGCAAATACGTCTCGCTTCTCTCTTCAGATCCCTATAGCGGTCCCACATAGCGCTCGTTGCGCCCGATCGCAGCGTGGCCTTGTAGGCGACATCTTTCTTCTCTGCAGCTTCCTTACACTCCTCATCGCACCAGTTGTTCTTTCGGACATCCTTAATGACCCTTATAATAAAAATTAAGGTTTAGAAAACCCACGCTTTTAAAAAAAATTTCGTGTCACATTTTGTGTACTTTTGAGCCACACTGTATGCACATACCGCGTGCTACATGCATACGTACTTTTATGGCATAACAGCAGCATTTCCTTTCTTCAACGCTGTTTGATCTCGTGCAGAAAATCACTTGGAGAAGTAGAAAAAAAAAATACTTAACAGAGATACTGATAAAATAAAATATGCTGAAAGCGAAGGCAGGAAGGCACCTTTTATTTATGCGCAATCGCATAGTTGGTATTGACTTTTTACAATTTTTTTCGCTGGTTTATTTATTTTTTTGCTGCAGCTGACAATGCAGCAGCTTAAACAACAAACAAGCATTGATTGAAATGTTGACTTGTGTCTTCCCCCTTTCCTTATTATATTTGTATATGCAGGCTTGCAGTCAGTAGCAAGAATAGGAGCAGCTCAAGCTTCATACGGTGGCTAAAAAAGCAGCTTAAGTGCATTGAAGCGGTTGTTTATTTGTAGGTTGGAAATTTCAGAAGGTCAGAATAGTGGTGCTCAAAATTCAGAACTTCAAAAGACTTACGGACCAGAATACTACAGATTTAGAGAATACACGCAAGATCCTACGAGAATAATAAATTCGGTCACATTTCACAAGCTTTAGGAGCTGCACTTGCTGACTAATAAGAAAGTAGATAAACTTCAAAATAAAGGGATCTAACGAAAATTCATAAATATGATACAATACAGACCGATTTTCTCTTGCGAGTAACTTGTTCCGGTTTCATCGGGTTGCTGGATAGTAGACCATGGACTCAGTGGGTATTTTGTATGTGGGTGAGTGGTTCTGAGAACGGTTTCTCTTGAAGTTTTTTTAAGATAATTACCAATAGAGGAGCCTAATTGATGAACCTTTATTGAGTATAAAAGCCATTTTAACAATCTGCCTAGTCGGTTTTGATCTCGTTAACCAAACGAATGTCACGAAGGCTTTTCTGGATTAGTAGACGAAAACGTCAGGTCTTTAATAGCTTAAGTGATGAACTAGAATTTTCTATGTAAGCTCTTAGATCGTGACGAATCAATCAAGCATTGGCTAATAATACCCGTGGTTTTAAACCCATTTTTGACATTGGGGATCATGTGGAGATGGAAGTACGGCACTCTAAGCCAATGTGTTGAGGTATCCGTGCGGATAGATGAATGATCAGTAGGTGGTTACAGAGTAACTAATCCCGAAAGGTCCTATTCGCTGACCACGTAAAATTGGAGCCAATACGTGCCTTCTCAACATATGCCGGGTCTGCGTACAAGTGACAAACCCTTCCAGAGCATACTAGCGATACCGGACATAAACTTTGTGAATAATCGTCAATAATCATCAAATATGGTAACCATGAATTAAGTTTAGAGCTATTTACCCCTCACCAAAAACGGTATGCCGGAAACTCCGCAAGGAAACGACGCTGCCCAATCAAGCAGGTCCAAAAAAATAAAAAATAAAACCCTATAATCAAGTTAGGAAGGAGTAGCTCGAGAGCTCGTTGAAAGAGAGGCAATCTGTGAACCATACTAATACTAAATAGTAAAAAGCGGAGCCTCAAAATAGGAAAGGTTCTGTAAACAAGAGAAGAGCCATTTAAGTGATGTTGCCAAAGATCACTAAGGGTGCCATTTTTCGACGTTAACACAAAGTAACCGGCGTCGATGCAGACGCACTGGGCTCCACCCGACGACTATCGAGTCTCGTAATGGACTACGAGAGCTCATAATAGTAGTAATTTTCTCCTTTTGTAGCTTTTAATGGGTCGTCCTTACAAAATCTGTGGACCTGATTGTTGAACATTATGTTGGGTTATGTCCATAGGTGTCTTATGACAAAGCTTAGTCTCCCGCATATTTGCTTCTATATTGACAGCAGTAGAAGCTTTCCTCGTTTAGATATTTCAGTTTTAAGGCTATTTTAGTCCTCTCTCATTTGATAACAAACTTGTTTAATTTGGATAAGCGATTTGATTATTATCCGGAAAGGACTTTTATTTCGGAATAAGAAATATTTGGCCAAGTTTAACTCGTAAAAAAATTACTGTTATTTTCGGTCCCTGTCTAATATGTACAAATGAATTCAGATGATATCAGAAGGCATCTGGTAGCTGTCTGTTGTGTGGTGTCCATTGGACCCTACTATCAACAGATGAAATGATTTATAACCAGTCATCCAATTGCCAGCAACGTTTCTTTGTTCCGTCTAAAAATTAAACAAATGCGGACAGACGACACCGCCCTATGGCATTCCATGTTTAACTTTCCTGGGTCTCGAGTTTTGATCTCGAGATATTACCGACGCTTGCCGAGTGATTATCGACAAGTTAAGGTACTGGTGTCTCCCGCCTGGCTACAGTTTTTCAGCATCAGCACGCATATTCCATTGGATTTTGGGATTCTTGCGCCTTTCTGTTGTCCACCCGAACTTTGCTGCTGGTGAAAGTGAACAGCGCACTGAATTTTGGAAGTTTTAACAGCCTTCTAATTACTGCATTGTGAAATGTCGGGATCTTACAACAGGGATCTTACCGTTGACCAAAGCTTACTCACACCAGTGGCAAAGTATACACCGCTGTCTTCAGAACTGGTGAAAATAAAGTTTCTTTTTTTTACGATTTTCGGTTATTTTCGATCAGATTTGACGTTTAGAAAGAAAGTTGAAAAATAAATTAAAAAAGTGCCTACATTATACAACTTTAGTAGGGCGCACAGCCCCTTCGCAGATATACAAAGTCAGAATACTTTAAAAAATATGTGGAAAACTTTTGTAAATTATTTACATACCTTATCGATTTGATCGAGTGCAACGTGCGCGTCCACCCAACTCGTGCGTACATATAAATCTGAAAATAATTTCTCATCGACGACATCGCCATGTGTGTCTGGCACTCGCGGCAGCCCATCCATCGTGGGCACAACCATTTTTGCTGCAGTTGTTTTTGTTTTTTGCTTTTTTTCTACTTCAGTGTCTCTGCGTAGAGTTTATGCTTTTACTTATTTTTCGTATAGTTTAAGTGTACATGTGCGTGAAAGCGCCCAAAATCGCTAAGTACAAGTGTGCACTGCAAAGCAGTAGTGCCATAACATTTATGGCCTTGTAGCTACGCGAGGTTTTTAGCGCTCAAACAAAAAGGGAGGTTTCAGTGTACGTTTTTGTGTGAAACGAAGAATTGTCGTGTCAGCTTTATTTTAATTCTATATTTTTTTTTATCAATTTTAACAATTCACTGCACAAAATGGTTAATTTTTATAAATTGTGTTTGGTTTTATGTTCGCGTTGTTCAGAAGCGCTTATTTTGTTGCTGTTGTTGGCTACTTTGCTTACGAAACGCTTTACGCACGTTTAGTAATCGTTGCATTTTTTCCACACTTTATTGATAGATTTAAGCCGCACGCCGTTCGCGTTTGCTTTCATTCATTAATATTATTTTTCATATATTTATATATGTACATATGTATATTCGTTGGATATGAATAAATACTAAAAAAAAACCAAAATCTTGCCCGTCTACAAATCGGCGCTTTGTGTGGCCATATCGATAAGTCGATTTTCGTTGTCATTCATTTATTTACATATTCACTTTGCTTTGCACGCTCTTTGCTTTTCTTACGTTTTTATTCTACTCGTATTTATTTTCGTTTCTTACACTTGTTTTTTTTCTTTTTCACATACACTTCGCTCACGTCAAACAAATAGCGTCGCCGTTGTTGTCGCACACGAGAATTCCAATGAATGTCGTTTTTAGCTCAATGTGGTCGATGTTGATCCTCCGCATGGATTTCAAGGAACTCTTTTATATTTTTAATTTTCAAACACTTTGTACTTTCGGTTGTGTGATTTCTCACTGTCGTTAACCGATGCGATTAGCTGCACAGATGACATACAGGCCACCAACGATTCCTACAAATGCTTAAGTATGCAATCCATAGCAGAAAATACTTAAACAATATATGTATATTTTTCTCAATATTCACTTTTCACCACGCGACGTCAAATTGCCAACGTGCTGCCACAACGAGGATCGAATGAAATCTGAGCGCATTGACTGAGTGGCCTGCACTCTAATGCCAGAAATTCAGCTTCTGCTCGCTGCTGGCAGATACGAGTTGTTGCTAGTGGTGGTGGTGATGGCGTTGGTGCTGGTGCTGCCACGACCAACTGTCGTTGTACAACAAGACCTTCTTCCGATGGCTGCGACGATTGCAGAAACAACTTCATTAGTTCCTATCAGTGTGATAGCGGGCTTGTGAAAAATTGTAGCAAAGAAGAGACTTAAAATGTATCACTTTTTATTTTAAGTATCAATAAAGAATAAACCAATAATTTTTATGAAAAACCATTTTCCACAACAATTTAACATTTATTGATTGCAAAAAAGGTACACGTATCAGTTTTACTTGGTACTAGTATAATAATAATGAAAATTTCTTACATCTATGAGTTCAGCTGGGTATTACTATAATAAAAACAGCAAAAATGTCTTATATATAATCTTATTTTTAGCTTAAATACTTTTTGTACTTATACGACTTAGAATTAAAATTTTTTAACCATTCTTAAGGCATTTCGAAAACATTATGCATTGGCAAAGTGAAGCGATTTGTTCTATTTGTTTTAATCAAATTCGGACCTGAGAAAATGCGCTCCGCAGCGGCAGAGCTGTGCGGCAAACATAACAAGTTAAAAATAAAAGAAGTTTGTTCGAAATGTAAAAAGTTATTTAAAGCATTGTTTAGCTTGCTTCAGCGATAATCAGCGAACGTTTGATGATTTTTAACACCAACGTAGTTTTGAAACTCGGCAAATTCATCCCCGCTTTTAGCACTATGTTCATAGAAACTGTAAACATCTCTGGCAAGGTTTTCGACTTCTACGCGATTTTTTTTTACACGATTGGAAAAGTATCAAAATTTAAAAAGAAGTGCCCCTCCAAAATTCATCGAAAAATGTATCACTTTGGATCAAAACGGTTACACTGGTTCCATCTCAGCTGCTGGCTACATGCTCCCAATTATCTCCTATACTGGGACTCTCTGTCTCTGCACGCGCTGTCGACATGCATTTGTATGTGTTTCCTGTCAAATGCGGCCATTTTGATTTTTGCTCTCAACACTGCACACACAGCAAGAAGAGCAAGCGCGCGCGCGCTGTCTGCCAACAAACACACACACACACGCCCAGTGAAAGCATGTCTGTGTGCGATGGCGTTGAGTAAGAACCATCTTGCCACTCTCCGATTTACGATAACGTTTCGCTGTTATTTGATAGTGTGCGTGTGCGTATGGATCGTTTTATTTGTGTGTGGGTGCGTTCACAAAAAATTCTCAGAAGCTAACGAAAACTTGGCTCCAGTCTCTTATCTTCTTGCATTTCTCTTGAATATTACGCGCATAAACAATGCAGTTTTTGGAAATCCCATACGCGTTCGATTTGTGAAAGTCATTTGCAGCTTATTATTAATAAAAACGAGCAAACATTTTTTAGTAATTAGTATATTTGAGAGTTATACTAATTTTCTTTCAGAATAGTTGTTTTAAAATAATTTTTGTTTTATATACTCTTAAAAATGGTTTTATAATTTGGACGATATTCATTGCTGATGCAGGAGATGTTTCCAGGCTTTTCAAATGCCCGGTTGAGTGCAGCGCGAAAAGCGAGAGCTGAGCGTAAATTTTTACGCTACTGGTTTTTTGAACTCACCTTTCGGTATGGCTCAGTTACGATTCACGATACAGAAAGAAAATAAAGTTATTAAGACGCGCTTAACAATTCAATTAGGAGAACAGTGGGACAGTTTGGGAAAGGCATTAAATTAAATTAAGTTAAATTAAATTACAATAAACTTACGTAAATTCATTTAAATAAAATAAAATAAAATTAAATAAAATATAATTAAACTAAATTAAAGTAAAGTAAAGTAATGTAAAGTAAAGTTACGTAAAGTAAAGTGAGTTAAAGTATAGAAAAGTAAAGTAAAATAAACTAAGTTAAATTAAAATAAAGTAAAGTAAAAAAAGTGAAGTAAAGTTAAATAAAGTAAAGTAAGGTTAAATAAAGTAAAGTAATGTAATGTAATGTTAAGTAAAGTAAGGTAAAAAAATTAAAGTAAAGTAAAGTAGAGTAGACTATAGTAAAGTTAAGTAAAGCAAAGTGAAGTTAAGTGCCGTAAAGTAAAATAAAATAAAATAGAAAATTTTATAAAAAATAACACAATAAAAAATAAATTAATATAAAATAAAATACTTTAAATTAAAAATATTTTATAAAATAAATTTTTATTAACTTTAATAATATTTTAATAAAAAAATCTTGCAATTAAAGTAATTCAGGTAGTTCTAAATGACCTTCTAGAGGAACTGAAGAAAATGAGCTACCGGGCGATAGCCTATACAGATGACGTAGCACTTATACCGATTTTGGGATAGTCTTTCGGATCTGACTCAAGGTTACCTGAACTTAGTAACTAGGGCGGTTAGCTGTGGCCTCGTAGTAAACCACAGAAAGACTGAACTAGTCTTGTTAGTTTCCGATGTTGCTTTTCCCTCGGTTGGAGGTATTCGCTCGCAGCTCTCCGAAAGGATAAGGAACCAACAAGGCGTCGGTTGCATATCACTGCTGCCCGAAGTAATTCATTGGTCCATTCAAACCACAGTTAAGCCTATTTAATTTTAGGGATCCCCTGACTGATGGCCGCTGTAGCCAAGTGCTTACAGTTATGTACGTACTACAACTCTGTAGGAGATGGATTCGATCTCTAGCCTGAGCAGCAAATAAAATCTGAAAAATTTTTTTCCCGACAGCGGTTGCCCCTCGGCCGGCAATTACAAACCTCCGAGTGTGTTTCTACATTGAATAGGCTGGTGGTTAACTAGTTCGAAAATTGAGCACTTTTGAGCTCTGGAGGGCTTTGATTTGATCCCTCATCTTACAGATTACCGTGCCTCCGAAAAGGCTCCCTACAAGTCCTTCACTACCTATGTACATACATTCCCTCAAGGAATGACTTAGTGCGGATGACTGTAGAAAAGGGGCAGTTTCACCAAATGATCAACTTGGCGGCAGGGCTGTTAAAGCTGCCTTCTGATGGGTGCTCTCCAGCAAAATTACGTTCAAGCTTCCGCACTGCTGCATTGTCTTTCAGTGGAAAATTTCTGTCATTAAGGAAGCGGTCGACTCACTGCTGTGGAGTGTGGCGTCGGTTAGAGCGGTGAGCATCTACTATTATAGCCATGGCTATAAGAGACTGGACGCTTTAGTGGTGCATTCGAAACTGGTCAGAAAATATCTGACCTACGTCTCAACCGCGGCAGAGTATTTTCTAATTAGGTTCATTTGGGTTCCGGGCGACAGCGTCATTTCGGGAAACTGCGTAGCTTATTACTTGGCAAAGAAAGCCATCCGTGAAACGTTGTTACCGGATAAGGAGCAGCTGGGCACAACTGTACTTCTCAGCGGGTGCACGCGAAAACTAGGTCATGCGCAATTGCAAGATCATTATGGCCTAGGTTAGATCGATGGCGGCAAACGGACCTTCTTAATCTGAGTTTTGTGCGATTGGTATTCATGCGTTAAGATTGGGAAACACCACCTAATCCTCCTTGTAGCAGCTGATGATGATGGGATCAACTCAGCAACATCAATTAGACTGCCCAACCTATGCTCGGAGGCTTGGTTGGTTGCAGTACCGAACAGAGGGGCTTAGGAATCTTATTTCCAACTTACTAGATTGTGAAGTATAACAGAATTTTATTTTATAGTTTACAGTGTACGAAGATACCGGAAAGGGGTTGTAAAAACTATATTTTAATGCTTTCGCTTTCTTTTTTTTTGATATGCCCCAAAACTAACTTACGTATGTAGAATCGAACCCTTTTTCTGCTGAAATAGAAATCCCATCCTCAATTTACTGCTTACTCCTCTT